CTTTGGCGCTCAGCCTTCCATGTGGTCCAACTTTCACAGCCATACATTGCAACTGGGAAAACCATAGCCTTGACTATACGCACTTTTGTTGGCAGGGTGATGTCTCTGCTTTTTATTATGCCATCTAGATTTGCCATAGCTTTCCTCCCCAGGAGCAAGCGTCTTTTAATTTCTTGGCTGCAGTCCCCATCTGCGGTGATCTTGGAGCCCAGGAAAATAAAATCTGTCACTACCTCCATTTCTTCCCCATCTATTTGCCAGGAAGTGAGAGGACCGGATGCAATGATCTTCGTTTTCTTAATGTTGAGTTTCAAGCCAACTTTTGCACTCTCCTCCTTCACCCACATCAAGAGGCTCTTTAGTACCTCTTCACTTTCTGCCATGAGAGTGGTATCATCTGCATATCTGAGGTTGTTGATATTTCTCCCAGTAATCTTAATTCCAACTGGTAATTCATCCCGCCCTGACTTTCTCATGATGTGCTCTGCATATAAGTTAAATTGGCAGGGCAACAGTATACAGCCTTGCCAAACTCCTTTCTCAATTTTGAACCAATCAGTGGTTCCGTGCCCAGTTCTCACTGTTGCTTCTTGACCCACATATTGTTTTCTCAAGAGACAAATAAGATGGTCAGGTACTCCCATCTCTTTAAGAACTTGCCACAGTTTGTTGTGATCCACATAATCAAAAGCTTTAGCATAGTCAATGAAGCAGAAGTAGGTGTTTTTCTGGAACTCCCTAGCTTTCTCCATGATCCAGCGTATGTTGGCAGTTTGAGCTCTAGTTCCTCTCCTTCTTCGAAACCCTGCCTGTACTTCTGGTAGTTCTCTGTCCACATACTGCTGGAGTCTAGCTTGTAGGATTTTGAGCACAACTTTGCTAGCATGTGAAATGAGTGCAACGGTGCGGTAGTTTGAACATTCTTTGGCATTGCCCTTCTTTGGGATGGGAATGTAAACTGACCTTTTCCAATCCTGTGGCCACTGTTGAGTTTTCCAAATTTGCTGGCATATTGAGTGTAGCACTTTTACTGCATCGTCTTTTAAGATTTTGAATAGCTCAACTGGAACACTGTCACCTCCGCTAGCTTTGTTGTTGCTCAGACTTCCTAAGGCCCATTTGATTTCACATTCCAGGATGTCTGGCTCGAGGTCAGTGACCACCCCATCACCCCATTGTGGTAATCAGGGATGTTAAGCTCTTTCTTGTATAGTTCCTCTGTGTAATCTTGCCATCTCTTCTTAATCTCTTCTGCCTCTGTTAGGTCCCTGCCATTTTGGTCCTTTATCATGCCCATCTTTGCATGGAATGTTCCCTTCATATCTCCAATTTTCCTGAAGAGATCTCTGGTCCTCCCTATTCTATTGTTTTCTTCTATTTCTTTGCACTGTTCATTTAAGAAGGCATTCTTATCTCTTCTAGCTATTCTCTGGAATTCTGCATTCAATTGGGTGTATCTTTCCTTTTCTCCCTTGCCTTTCGCTTCCCTCTTTCCTCAGCTATTTGTAAAGCTTCCTCAGACAGCCATTTTTCTTTCTTGCATTTCTTTTTCTTTGGGATGGTTTTAGTTGCTACCTCTTGTACAATGTTGTGAACCTCCCTCCATAGTTCTTCAGGCACTCTGTCTATCAGATCTAATTCCTGAAATCTATTTGTCACCTCTACTGCATATTCATCAGGGATATGATTTAGGTGATACCTGAGTGGCCTAGTGCTTTTCCCCTACTTTCTTCAGTTTAAGCCTAAATTTTGCAACGAGAAGCTCATGATCTGAGCCCCAGTCAGCTCCTGGTCTAGTTTTTACTGACTGTATAGAGCTTCTCCATCTTTGGCTGCAGAGCACATAGTCAATCAGATTTCTGTGTTGACTGTCTGGTGATGTCCATGTGTAGAGTTGTCTCTTGGGTTGTTGGAAAAGTATGTTTGCTATGACCATCGTATTCTCTTGACAAAATTCTACCAGCCTGTGCCCTGCTTCATTTTGTACTCCAAGGCCAAAGTTGCCTGTTATTCTGCTTATCTTTTGGTTTCCTACTTTAGCATTCCAATCCCCCATGATGATAAGGACATCATTTTTGGGTGTTAATTCTAGAAGGTGTTGTAGGCCTTCATAGAACCGGTCAACTTCAGCCTCTTCAGCACCAGTGGTTGGGGCACAGACTTGGACTGCTGTGATGTTGAATGGTTTGCCTTGGATTTGAACTGTGATCATTCTGTCATTTTAGAGATTGTATCCCAGTACTGCTTTTCCTACTCTTTTATTAACTATGAGGGCTACTCCATTTCTTCTGAGGGATTCTTGCCCACAGTAGTATACCTGATGGTCATCTGAATTAAATTCACCCATTCCTGTCCATTTTAGTTCGCTGATTCCTAAGATGTCGATGTTCAGTCTTGTCATCTCTTGTTTGACCACATCCAGCTTGCCTTGATTCATGGATCTTACATTCCAGGTTCCTATGGAGTATAGATATTTGCAGCATCGGACTTTCCTTTCACCACCAGATACATCTGCAACTGAGTGTCCTTTCGGCTTTGACCCAGTCACTTCATTCTTTCTGGCGCTACTAGTACTAGCCCTCCGCTCCTCCCCAGTAGCATACTGGACACCTTCCGACCTGAGGGGCTCATCTTCCGGCATCATATCTTTTTGCCTTTTGGTACTGTCCATGGGGTTTTCATGGCAAAGATACTGGAGTGGGTTGCCATTTCCTTCTCCAGTGGATCACGTTTTGTCAGAGCTCTCTGGTATGACCTATCCATCTTGGGTGGCCCTGCACGGCATAGCTCATAGCTTCATTGAGCTACGCCAGCCCCTTCGCCACGACAAGGCAGTGATCCATGAAGGAGTCTTGGCATTATATTAGCTAACAAACATTTGTATTGTAATCTATTACCCAATCCAGGATAGGTAGAATTAAATATGTTGATGAATTCTAATTTAGTCACTTGCAGAGAAGAAATCTCACAAAACATCCCTATTAGCTGTGTGGTTTGTTTACAATGTCTTGGTGGGTGTTGCCCCTCCTGGGTAATATTTTATTTATTTATTTTTCGGTGTATATCCTGCCTTTTTCCTCAAAGGGCTCAAGGCAGCTTACATCATTCTCCTTCTCCATCTTATCCCCACAACAACAACCCTGTGAGGTAGGTTGGGCTGCGAGTCTGTGACTGGCCCAACGTCACCCAGTTGGCTCCATGGCCAAGTGGGGACTAGAATCCAGATCATCTGAGTCCCAGTCCCATGCTCTTAACCACTACATGACACATAAACAACATAAAAACATAAACAACCCTAACACTGCTGGGAACACCTGACTTTCATATTGACCCTTTCCAATTGAATGAGAACACGTATTATCTATGTTTCTTAAGAGCAAAGTATGGTCTAATGAAGTCTCAATTAAAATCGTGAACATAATTGAAATCTCTGACAGACTTTTAAAAAAGAAAAAGTTGTAAGAATGCCAGAAAGCTAAGGAGATTTGGAGCCTCTGCCAAATGTTATTTTCCCCTCTGCAGCAGTTCCATACACACTGTGCCTCACGGTTCAGGGGATTCCATGAATATATGAAAAGGGTTTTTTTTATGACTTTCATGAATTAAAGAGGGAGAAGGCAATGGGTAAGGCCTGCCAACATATGAGCTTCCTTTCACATATGCTGGTTGATTTTTATAGGGCCAGCATTTCAGTAAAAACATAAAAATGATTTGGTCAAATATTGTTCAGATGTTTTTAAAGCATTGTAGCATCTGTATACAACGGTGTAGATTCCTGCATTGGATAGCACATTTTGGAGGACTTTCATTCCTAGGGCCGCTGTTAAGTGGGAGATGACACTTGACGGCACCACGTTAACAAGACGATTCCTATCCCCGAGGGCCTAGACGCAGGTGCAACTTTTGGGGCAGAAAGTCAAGCAGAGATTTTCTTCTGCCTCCCCCGGCCCCGTACAGCCAGTGCCAAGCATTTTGAGAAAGGTGGAAAAAGGCGTTCCAGTTGATAGTGCTCGGGATATTGGTGTGGAATCCTATCAGGTCGCGATCGTGAAAAAATCGTCTTCTCCCGCTCTCAACTATTTGCCTCTGGAGGGAAGATTTCCTTGGCGCCACTTACAACCCAACCTAGCGTGTAGGAGTTTCTCCATTCAGAGGTGCTTTCTCAACTAAGCCTTATCAGTGATCGGTATTCAGATAATAGCTAAACTGTGCTGTATTTTCTAGGCTATCAGCCTGGAATCGAGCTAGTTTTTCATTTATGTGGTCTTTTGCTATTACTATTATGTACTTAAAATATAAAAAATTGTCAATGCATAAATGGACGTTAAGTGACGCCAAATAAATTCCTTTCAAAGGCAAACAGCAGTTGGGAATGGGAGAGGGCGCTTTTCTGAAGATCGCTGACTGAAGGAAACATTAGAGTCCACCCACTCGTCCTACGTTCTGATCTGATTATCGCCGCACTCTAGTTATTTAAATTTTAAATAGTATATTAACATATTTACTGCATTTATTACGTTAGATTGGCTTTTCCTAATGAAAATAATGAGCGTCTCAGAAGAACATGCAGAGGATCGAGCAGCAAAAAAGAGCGAACCCTTAAGCCCACATTTTGGGGGTAGGAACCGCGGTGGAAGCACTAATTGTACCACAGACGTAATAATTCTCCAGGTCCTCAGGAAGAGGATAGAGCGGATGCGAACGCAAGCCAGTCCCACATGGGGGGGGGGGTCTCTGCGCCCGCCCCTTTCCCTCAGGCTTTCGGCCTTTCTGCGGCCAGAGCAAGACGACTGGCTCCTCCTCGGTGATGTAACTTGTAGTCACCGCGACTCTGCCAATCACGGCCAGCGGAGCGCTCGGGGCGGCCCCCTTTAACTCTGGGGTGACTCCGAAGCGGGTGTGCAGAGGAGGAAGTAGTGCTTGAGCAGCTTTCAGGAACGTGCCCATTTTCACCCTCAGTCGTCCGGCGGGTGAGTCTGGCCGCTTCAAGGAACACTTGGTGGCCTCAGCATGTGGTGGCTCTGGTCGCGGAGGACGACCCAGCTTCGCGTGGTCCTTGCTTGCCTGCCTGCCTGCCTGCCTGCCACGCCCTGTTTGCATTGGTCCCAATTAGCTTTCTTCGTTGGGACAGAAGCCGCACCCGTCCGGCACTCGGAGCTTTCGCTCAGTCGATGGGGAAATCCTTCCCTCGCCAGTAGTGCCTGGCACAGGCCGCTCAGATTGTCTGGCCAACTTGACAGGAGCCGCTCACGGGCCTCGCAGGCGCGAGTCTCTCTGGTTTAAGAGCCGGGAACCGGCTGGGGAAATACTTCTCTACCCCAGAGAGAGAGCTTGCATCGGGGTATAACCAGGGCTGCCTGGCTTCGTGTCTTGCAAAAAGGTGGGGAAATTCTTAGAAGTGCCCGGGATTAGACTGGGAGGACAAACGAAGATTTTGATTGGAGCGAGATTATCTAGCGCCACAGTTGGTTTTAAGGGAGTCTCCCCTGAACTCCAACTTAAAACTGGGTTGACTGCTGTGGAGGAAGCCGAAAGTAGGGTGTTACGTTGCCTAAGGGGATGGGGAAATAATTTTACTGTCATTCAAAGTTATCTTTTTTTCTATACGGACATAACTTCCATATTTTAAGTGTACCAGGCAGAAATTCAGCAGCTGACGCTTCCACCCTCCATATAGAAATGTACTACTATGTAAAACCACGAAAGATTTCCCTCTCCCTCGTAGCTGTAGCACAGTAGTTCAAGGCAGAAGGGGAAAGCGGCAACACTACGGGACTTCTTTTGAGTTGCCTGCCTTATTCTTTGATGGTTGCTGGAGTTTAGTTAATACCTGACCTATTGCTGCTCTCTAACCCCCTGCTTTTTTCCATCTTTCCTCCTTTCCTCTATTTTAAAAAATGGCAAGTACCTGCAGGAAGAGCTGAAAACGTCTTTCATAAGATAAACCAATTAGATCACAAATATTTGCTCATTAATTATGATTTTGTTATACAAATCTTTTAATAGTTGGCTATATATGTGGGGAGGAAGGGCAGTAAGGGGTAAATAGTGGTTCATTGCCTCCACTATTTGGGAAAGGAAGAGAAGAGATGAGTCATCTTTTCTGCTTCATTTGTTCCTCTGAATTTTCTCCCCAATAACCATAGAAAATCTTTACCCAAACCTCTATTCCCAAGGAGAAAGTGCAGCATGATTAAGAAGACTCTGCTTGTGTTTGCTTTAGGAGAATGTGACAGTGCTGATAACCTTGAGGATAACTGCTGTTGACAGTAGAATTAATAAGTTGCCTGAACAAAGTATAATGGCAAAAACTACAAACTTGTGGTTCATTTAAGGCTAATATGAATAATATTATGACATAAGTTTTTGTGGATTAGAATCCATATTACAAGGTTTCAGCTCTAATCTGCAGAAGCTTTTGTCATAATAGATTTGTTAAGTTGCCAGAACGTGCTTTGTTCTTGCTGCAACACAGACAAGCACAAGTTCTGGAAAATAATACAAAGTATAAAGTCATTCAGCAGTTTGGTGCCTTTAGGTACCATTTTTGAAGGCTAACCTGAAAATGAAGTTGAGACTTTAAAAATATGCCAACCCAGCACAAACTTCTAGAAATCCTGGCATTTTTTAAAAAAACATTCTGTGGTGACTTTTATACATCAAATCCATTTAGACATATCAGCTCTTCCCACCTTAACATTTAAAGCAGATCCTAGAATATCTGAGATTCTGAGTCTATATCCCACAGATTCACTTTTAACTTTAGACATTTTTTTAAAAGGGGGAGATAAACCGCGAGTTGCTTAACTCTTCCTCTTGCTTTTTTCTGCTTAAAAGTGCAGTGTGTGCTCCGAAGTCCTTTATTTGCATGATAGGAATAATGAAGATGAGTCACTAAACAGCTGGAAGTTGAGGGGATACTTTTGAGAGGGTGAAAAGAAAGAGTTAAGCATCTTCTCTTTTTCTCCACTATTTAAATGTGTGTGTAGCTGTACGTACTAGGGGAGGCCAAATGCTTCTGTAGTCACTTAGCAGCTGTAGGAATTAAAAAGCACTAAGCATCTACTTTAGATTTTAAAAATATTAGGAAAGATGCATGTGATTGCAAGGTGCATCTACTTTGTGCTGCATTATTTTGGAGATTGCATGAAGCCTTTCTGGTGTCTGGCCGGATCACTGTTGTACTTCACCGGATCATACATAAATGTAAGTCTTCTCCTTGTGTGTTCTTAGCAGCTTCTCACAAATACGGAGCTGGATTTACTCTGGAGTGGATTAGTCCAGAAACTCTTTCTGCTTATCCTTTATGCCATGTTCTGGATTAGAGCCAAGTGTGTGGAATGTACTTGTGGAGAAGCTGCTTTTCCTGACATATTGCTATGCTGTAATGAGACCTTATTCAAGTCAGAGAAGCAGATCTGGGATTCTGTGGCAAGAGCAAAGCTTAACTCACAGGAGAGTTGAAATCATATTTACATTTAAATAACCTAAATTAGCTTTCATGATATCTCACTACTTCAGTACATTTGCATCATCACCAATCACAAGTTATGCTGTTTGTACCTCAGATGTCACTGCCTGCTACAACTTGTGTGGAAGAAGACACTGTTTATTTGTCTAACCAGGTTGGTGGCCCATACTGTCCATGGTAGTCTTGGACTCAGCCTCATATGTGTCTCTCTAATCTACTCTGTTGATATTTGCTCCTTTCTACCCTTCCTACTCTTGAGATGGGTATAGAGGATGGTAAATTTACCTTCAAGTTTAAAAACTTGATACAGGAACAGTGAAAACAGCATTTTGCTCTTTTATACTATCAGGAGAGAAGCCTAGGTGCATTTTAATCAATAGGTGTGAAGTATGTCAGAGAGAATGGTTTTAATTGGATAGTGTGCCTCAGGCCATACCCTGAGTTGACACTCTAGGACAGAGCTATAAAAAAATGCAGACTGCAGGCAGCCTCTCCAGCCCCATTTGGAAAGCCCTTAGCTTGTGCTGTGGCCAGGAAGAAAAAAATGCTTCAGGAATTGGTTGCATGGTTTCTCCTCTTCTAGCCTCAATTTTATAGCATTCTATGAAGCAGTACTCAAAGGCCTGTGCTTATTTCTTAGGACACTGCAAGGATATGCAAACATACTCAAGCATACCTATATCTGCATACATGTACATGCATGTGCTCTGTCACCCCAACAACTACTCAGTAAGGTTCTCAGGGCCAAAATGGTCATTGTACCCTTACAATAGAATTTTGGAAATGACGTGGAAATGGGGGATGTGAGATGGTTGTTCATGATCTGATTTAGAAGCAGGACAAACATCTGGGTTGCTGGACTCAGGAATTCCAGATTCAGAAGATGCCTTTCATGAGCTGTCTACTTCAGAGCTGAAATAGGTATAAGCAGTTCATATGAAATGAATGAACATGAATGTAAGCATACTAGCATTCACATTTCATTTTATATTATGAGGGTAAGTAATACATCTTAATTATGCATCAAAATCATAAAATGGGCTACAAATGTAATAAAATTTAATAAGTTGAACAAATGGAGAAAGGGTACCAAGCATGTTGCTTGTCTGAGGTGCCAGTTGGTTTAAGGCCAGGCTTGCTGCTCTCAGTGTTTGTGTATAGAAGAAACATGGCATGATTGGACACACAGGCAAGTTGTACTAGAAAAATATTTCAAATTTCACTGTTATAATAAGTTGAGTCAAGGCAAATAGATAATAACTTAAATCACAATTTAGAAGAAATTTTCAGTTAATCGAATTTTTTAAAATGTGATTGAAGTAGAATGGATAATAACCACTGATTTACAGTGAAATAATTTATATTTGATATTCTGTGCAATACTTGCTTAAGCTCCCTTGATGTTTCTTCACTATTTTTCTTTTTATTCATATTCTCACTTCTTTCTTTTCTTCAAACATTACTGTTACTAAAATAATATATAAATAAGAAAATATTTCAATTTTTTAAATGTTACTATGGCATTTTTAGGTGACTGAAAACTCCTCCCCATTCTGTTAACAAGTGACTTGTTGGTGCGATTGCCAGGAGCTTGCATTCTTATCAGGCCCACTCATGAATGACTCATGCTGTGCCATCCCATCCCAGGCTGCCCTCCTTGAGTCATGGTTGTACTTTATTTGTTGGACTGTCGAGAGTATAAAAGTATCCCTGTGCTATATATTCGTCTGTATTTACTGTTCTAGCTGGTCTTCTGCATACTTCAGCCTTGGTTCAACTCTCTGAGTATTGCTTATTTAACACCTAAGATAACTGCCAGTTTGTTAGGTGGCAATCATTGCCTTTCCACTCAGTAACAAAATGTGTATGTGTATAAAGGTAGGAGTGGGGGCAGTTGGTTATCTTTGCCTATTCTACCTCTAGTATTCTTTCGCAAGGAGGTCTACCTATAGTGTTGTCTAAATGCTTCAAGAATTTTAACTGTGGACTCAGTAGCAATTCAGCAGCAAGACTTTCTACCATGGAGCAAGCACAATCCTCATCTAGCTCAAGCCTGGATTATCACTCAGGAAACGCATGTGACTTTCATTATTGACACAATGTCTATGAGTTGCATTTGAGAGAAGGAGAGGGTGAAGCTGGAAATGACTGCCATACCTCAAAGACAGATGAGAATTGGTTATCTAGTGCTCAAGATGAAAGTAGCCTTATTTGGCTTCTCCAAGGAAAGCCAATACCACTTATTATTATTATTATTATTATTATTATTATTATTATTATTATAACATTTCTATGCCGCCCCTTGCCGAAACCTCGGGGCGGCTTACAACATGATAAAATACATTGAAATACAATAGTACATAATAAATTACCATTAAATATAACAATACAAAAAATACATTGATTTACAAATACAAAATTAAAATTATCAGTATAAAATAAAAATATAGGAGGAGAAAGAGAAGGAAGAAGAAGTTGCCCAGGCCAGATCATATGTTTTAACAATTGAAATGATGTTTAAATAAAAAGGTCTTTACCTGGCGCCGAAAAACCAGTAACGACGGTGCCAGGCGGACCTCTTTGGGGAGTGAATTCCATAGGTTGGGCGCCACCGCAGAGAAAGCCCTCCTCCGGGTACTTACTCTCCTAATTTCTTTCATGGAGGGTTCCTGGAGAAGGGACTCTCCCGCAGATCTCAAAGGGCGGTCGGGCATATACGGACGTAAGCGCTCGTTCAGGTAGCCAGGACCCAAGCCGTTTAGGGCTTTGTAGGTCATAATCAACACCTTGAATTGGGCCCGGGCTTCAATGGGAAGCCAGTGAAGCTGATGGAGGACTGGAGTCATGTGAGCATAACGCCCCGTCCCCGTCAGCAACCTGGCAGCTCTATTTTGCACCAATTGAAGTGTTCGGACTGTCTTCAGGGGAAGCCCCACGTAAAGCGCGTTACAGAAGTCTAGGCAGGAAGTCACCAGCGCGTGTGTCACCGTCGCCAGGCAGTCGTATTCCAGGTAGGGGCGCAGCTGATTAATCAGCCGAAGCTGAAGGAAGGCGTTCCTCGCTACCGCTGTCACCTGAGCTTCCAAAGAAAGCTCCGGGTCGAGGAGTACACCTAAGCTGCGGACCTTATCCCTAAGAGGGAGTGTTGCACCATTCAGGACCAGGTCAAATCCACCCTCTCCGAAACCCGATCCGCCAACCAACAGGACCTCCGTCTTGTCTGGGTTGAGTTTCAGTTTATTGGCCCTCATCCATTCCCTTACCTCGGCCAAGCACCGGTTCAGCACAGCCACTGCCTCACCTGGATTAGTGGAGAATGAGAGGTAAAGCTGGGTATCATCAGCGTATTGATGATTCCGCAGCCCACACCTCCTGATGACCTCTCCCAGCGGTTTCATATAGATGTTAAATAGCAGAGGGGATAGAATGGAGCCCTGTGGTACCCCATGGCATAGCTGCCATGACGTAGAGACATGGTCCCCCAGCACTACCTTCTGGAATCGACCGTCGAGATAGGAGCGGAACCACTGCAAAGCAGTGCCTCCAACCCCCAATCCCGCAAGTCTATCCAGAAGGATACCATGGTCGATGGTATCGAAAGCCGCCGAGAGGTCCAGAAGAACCAACAGGGATGTACTCCCCCTGTCCTTCTCCCTGCACAGGTCGTCGTACAGGGCGACCAAGGCAGATTCAGTACTGTACCCGGGTCTGAAGCCGGACTGAAAAGGATCCAGATAATCAGTTTCCTCCAAGAGTGCTTGGAGTTGTCCCGCCACCACTCGCTCCAGCACCTTGCCCAGAAACGGGATGTTGGCCACAGGTCTATAGTTAGTGGCCATCTCTGGATCCAGTGACGCTTTCTTCAGGACCGGTCGTATTACCGCCTCCTTTAAAGGGGCAGGCACTCGACCCTCCCTCAGAGAAGCGTTAACCACTTCCAAAATCCAGGTCCCAATCCCGTGCTTGGAGTTATTTATTAACCAAGACGGGCAAGGATCCAATAGGCAAGTGGTGGGACGTACTCTTCCAAGCACCTTGTCCACATCATTGGGCCGCAATATTCCTGTTTGTGCTTGGGAACTTTCCCTGAAAATTACTGCAAGAAATAACTTGCCTTTAGGAGTGAGCCTGAAGTCTTTTACTTGAGTTATCAAGAAGAACATAAAGGCTATGAATATATAACCAAGACTATAATGTCCAGATTGCAGAGGGAGGGAAATACTGCATGCCCAAAAGTAATGAAAGGGGTACGATTTATCTGAATGATAGGAACCGAATGATGGCTTTATTGGGAGTTATAGCTGAGTTACAGGATGTGGAGAGAAATTGTATTTGTTTAATAAATGTTTTAGTATAAGATTTGCGTGGCAGTGTCACATCTAATCTGTTCTGACGTCAGATTGACTGAGCCTTGGTGTGTACAATTGAAAGGGTTTTTTTTTTTTTTTTTTTTGAGACAGATACAAAGGTAGGGGAAGGTTATAGGAGAAAATGCGGCATAGGAAGACTTTTGTTAGCTTTGTGCAAGGAAAGGCATTTCTGTCATCTTTGCAGGAAAGTTTGTAGATCTAGTTTCTAAGCCTGTCTGTCCAGATGCCTCAAATATAAGCCAAATTGATCTTTCAGGAGATTTAACCTTTCAAATCCATAAGACTTCATTGAAGAAATAATGTGTATATGAGGGAGTTAAGGCTGACTAAGAAGTAGCGAGGAACATATGGCTGGAGGTCTCAGAGGAACATATGGCTGGAGCAAGAAACTGGGCCCTGTTTTTTCCTACCTTAAAAGATTTGGAGCTTTCCAGTTAGCTTTTCTGCAGTAAACTCTTTTGGCCTGGCACACCAGTATAACCAGCCCTGATATCTACTGCAAGCCTTGGGGCTTTTTACAGGCTTCTGTGTTTGCCTGGACCATTGGGAGCTCCTTGTGTAACTTATGTAGGTACAGTTCTTTCTTTCCACAGGTTGCAGCATGTCCATAAATTCAAGGAAGAGTTGGACCTTCTTGCTTAAAGCTACTTTATTCTGGTAAACAGGTGCCAGCATAATTGATATATGTTTGGATTAGTACAATGAAAGGATATGCTGTATATATGTGTATGCATTTTCACCAAGAAGATGCTTGGGAGATAAGTTTAGCACTTTCTTGTGTGTG